ACTTTAGTGTTGTGTTTGGATTCTTTTGTGTGTGTGTGTGTGTATCTATTGTAGTTTTTTGGTTTGCAGTTACCATGAGGGTTTGATATAGCAGTCTATATATAAACAAGATTGTTTTAAGTTACTGGTCTTTTAATTTCAAACACATTTCCAATATCCTACATTTGTGCTCTCCTCTTCTCACAATTGCTGGTTTTGATATTTATGTGCAGATGATTTCCTACACTTTATGTTTGTCTTTACTTGTGAACGTTTCCATTTGTAATTTTGTTTCTACTAGTGGCCTTTTCTTTTCCGCTTAGAGAAATTCCTTTAGCATTTGTTTCAAACCTGGTCTGGTAGTGCTGAATTCTCTTAGCTTTTGCTTGTCCGTAAAGCTTTTGATTTTTCCACGGAATCTGACTGAGAGCCTTGCTGGGTAGTTTTCTTGGTTGTAGGTTCTTCCCTTTCATCTCTTTAAATATATCATGCCACTCCCTTCTGGCCTGCAGAGTTTCTGCTGAGAAATCAGCTGATAACCTTATGGGAGTTCCCTTGTATGTTAATTGGTGCTTTTCATATTTTTTTCTCTTTATTTTTTATCAACTTGATTACCATGTGTCTCAGCATGTTCCTCGTTGGGTTTATCTTGCCTGGGACTCTCTATGCTTCCTGGACTTGGGTAACCATTTCCTTTCCAGTGTTAGGGAAGTTTTCAGCTATTACCTCTTCAAATATTTTCTCAGGTCCTTTCTCTCTCTCTTCTCCTTCTGGGACCCTAAAATGCAATAGTTGGTGTGTTTAACATTGTCCAAGAGGTCTCTTAGACTGCCTTTATTTCTTTTCATTCTTTTTTCTTTATTCTGTTCCATGGCAATGATTTCCACCATTCTGTCTTCCAGGTCACTTATCCATTCTAATGCCTCAGTTACTCTGCTATTGATTCCTTCTAGTGTAGTTTTTACTTCAGTTATTGTTATTGTTCACCTCTGTTCTTTATTTCTTCTAGGTCTTTGTTGAACATGTCTTGTATCTTCTCAATCTGTGCCTCCAATTCTTTTTCTGAGACCTTGGATCATCTTCACTATCATTACTCTGAATTCTTTTTCCGGTAGATTGCCTATCTGCACTTCACTTAGTTGTTCTTCTGGGGTTTTATCTTGTTCCTTCACCTGGGACATATTCCTCTGCTGTCTCATCTTGCCTAAATTTCTGTGATTGTGGTTTCTGATCTACAGGCTTGCAATTCTACTTGATTTTGCTGTCTGCCCTCTGGTGGATGAGGCAGGCTGTCTAAGAGGGCTTGTGCAGGGTTCCTGGTGGGAGGGCCTGGTTCCTGCCCTATGGTGGGTGGAGCTGGGTCTTGTCCCTTTGGTGGGCAGGGCTATGCTCAGAAAGATTTTAAGCAGTCTCCTGATGGGTGGGGCTGTGCTCCCGCCCTGTTGGTTGTTTGGCTTGAGGAGCCTGGAGACTGTTGGGTGGGGCTAGGTCTTGGGGGGTGAAATGGAAGCCTCCTGGAGGGTTCACACCAATGAGTTCTCACCAGAGCTGCCACTGACCATGTCTTTGTACCCATAGCCACAGCCGCTCCCTACCTCTGCTGGAGACCCTCCAATACTATAAGGTAGGTCTAGCCCAGTCTCTTATGCAGTCACTGCTTTTTTCCCTAGGTCCGGGTGTGCACTAAACCTTGTGTGTGCCCTCCAAGAGTGGAGTTTGTTTCCCCCAGTCCTATGGAATTCCTGAGATCACACCCCACTGACCTTCAAAAGTCAGACTCTCTGGGATTCCTCCTCCCACTGCCAGACCCCCAAGTTAGTGGGGTTCAGGATTTTCACTCCTGTGGGAGAACTTCTGTATTCTAATTATTTTCCAACTTGTGGGTTGTCCACCTGGTGGGTATGGGATTTTATTTTATTGCAATTGTGCCCCTCCTACCATCTCGTGACTGCTTCTTTGTCTTTGGGTATAGGGTATCTTTTTTTGGTAGGTTCCAGCATTTTTTTTTTTTGTTGATGGTTGTTCAGTAGTTGTTATTTCAGTGTTAAGAAGGGATGAGCTCACGTCTTTCTACTCTGCCACGCTTTGCTATCTCCAGTCATTTATTTTTGTAACTGTGTGATGCTCATCTTCCCCCAAATGCATCGCATGGTCCACGAGGGCAGGGCACGTGTCTGCGCTGTTTACAGCATCTTCTTCATCACCAGACTGACTTGAGTTTTCAGTTTCCCAGAGCACAGCATCATTTTCTATCTAAGTTCTTTTGAGATACAGTATTTGAATTGGGGTACAATATGCTGACATTTTACTTCAAGCTGCATATACCAATTTGCCTAATCACGACATCATACATTTGTGGTTTCTCCAATGCCACTCACATCGAGTGGCATTACAGTGATGCTTACACCTTTTTGCCTTTTCTAACTCCTTTTGTAACTTTCTTTAACTTCGGCATTTAGAGGTCAGGAAGATCAGGAAAAGCAGCAAGAGACTGATCAGAAAGGCAGGAGTAAACCAGACAAGTGCAGAGTCCCAGAAGAGAATAGTGCTTTTCAAGGAGTGCTCAATTACTGCAAATGATGAGTACCAAGAATTATCAGACACATCAACTTAAGAAGAGCTTTTGTGGAACAGATGTAACAGCAAATGGAAGAGAAATTGGAGAGAGAATACAGGAACTTGTTCAAGAAGACTAGAAGCACTGGGCAGGGTACGCACAGGAGAGAGGTGTGGGCTGTCTTGGGAGTAAAGACCCAGAGAGTGTGGTGTTATGGAAAGCAAGAGAAGGGAGTGCTGCAAGGAGGGTCAAGTGCTGGCAAGTCAAAATTTAAGACAAAACCAAAAACTCCACTGGGGCATGAAAGAGAATGATCCAGGAATAGCATCTTTAGCATTAAGCAGCATTAATCTGTTCCTGATGAGTGAAGACAACTCAAAGCTCACTCTAGAGCACCAGAGGGAACCAGGGCTTTGGGTATGTGATGTGGCTTTGTTCTCATGAGAAAGACTTGATGGCATGGTGGAGGGGAGGAAGCGAGGGAAGAATGGTCCTTGAGAAGGAGGGAATAGTTCCTTTCTCCTCCTGCAGAGGCAGGTGCATTTGGCCAAGGACACAATTCTAGCCACCAGAAAGTTTCAGCTGAAGGTCTGTGCATATTTTGCCCCACATTTACTAATGTTGCTCCATGACCAGGATAGACTGGGTAACTCATTCATCATTTAAACCTTAATAGCTCTCAAGTGTCTATTGCATCAGTTTCAAGCTGCTGGCAGTCTATACTGGGTTCATGCTGTGATCTCAGCTGCACCCCTCCATTGAGGCATGAGGCAGTGTTCTGCCGGTCTGACACAGCTCTGACCCATCCCTTCTTTCCCACAGGCCTCAGGTTCTGGCCCCACTTCCTCATTCTTTCAATATCAGCACAGGACCTATCTTTTCTGGCAAGAGATATCTCCTATGTCTTCTGGTCCACCCTTCTGAAATGCTTATTGCCCTAGACTTATAGCACACAATTTTCACCCAAGTATTCACTATTCCACATGGTAACTGTTTCATTAGCCAGATCAAGCTCCCATCTTGGTTATCTATGGCTCTTGGCTATTAGGAACACAAGGACAAAGTAGACTATAGTGATCAGCGCCTTGGACCAGTTGACCCTCTAAGCTTCAGTTTCTGAAAACCAAGGTTAATTAGATGTACCTACCTCACAGGATTGTAGTGAGGATTAACTATAAATGTATGTGCCTGGCACACAGCAAGTGCTCTTCAAATGCTATTACACAAATTAGTTTCCTTCTCCCCTTTATTATCTCCCAATCAATTCTCCACATTGCACCACCCCCTCCACCACCACCTCATGGTGCCAGTTGCAAGGTGGATACACAGAAGTCATTGTTTCTTCCTATGTGTCCCTGACTTGATAATTCCTAAATTTATGGCAACAAAATGAGGTTTGAGGGAAAAGTCACAGCTAATAGTGTACTGAAACATGCCCTTCTACTTCTAAAATGAATAGTTGAGAGCTGCTTAACACAAGTTTTCAGCTACAGGAAATACATTAAAGGAAGAATTCTTTAAATAAAAGTTCCTACAGGAATCTCTCTATATGTAAATAACAAACATGGGTGGAATATTTTAACCTAAGTCTAAAACTTCCCGTGTTGTGAGTCTTCCATGCTGGTGGAAAGCCAATCTGGGTAAAAACTGGTAACTCAGATAAAGGTTCAAGGGCTTTCCTAAACCTCAGGAGACCCACCCTGGTTTTCAATGACCCTCTCTTCTGTCAGGAACTCCCACATTCCTCCACTCAAAATTTCACTCAAATGTCTCCAGACTCAAATACTTGATTTTGACTACTCCAGCCCATTTGTTTGCAATCACACTGTCTTCAAAATCCTGTTTTCACTCCCTCCAGCCCTCCCCAAGAGATTTTAAACCCCCTAAGACCAGACTATATTTTTCCTTTATATATGTCAAGAGACAACTACAGAGTATTTCACATACTCAACATATGTTGATTAATTTGTATGAGACCTTTCTGGAATACTTTCCCAGCTAATCATCACTATTCTGCAGGTTAAATTTTGTTCCTTCTTACAATCTTGATGTGAAGCAGGGATCAGCAAACTATAGCAGGCAGGACAAATCCAACCCATGAGCTAAGAATTTTTAAATGTTTTTAACAATCCTTTAAAAAGGTAAAAAAATAAAGACTATGCAGCTGCAAAGTCTAAAATATTTACTATCAGGCCCTTTATAGCATACTTGACAGAGATTCTAGACAAGGACATAAGAAATGAGTGCAAGAGAGATGACCCAAAGGGCTCCCAGAAACCTCACTGGCCCCTGAGGTACCTCTAGGCAAGATGTTTCTTTATCCTCTTAATTCAGAAACTCAACTCCAAGTGCCTGATTTTGTGGATAAACCCCAAGGACCTGCCAACTCTGAAAATCACTACAGCTATCTGCCACTTGCCATGCTCATTGCAGGTGAGGAATAGTGAGAAGGGAAAATAAGTAATATTAGTGGGAGATTATGAATAATAAAAAGCTGTGTAATATTAGATAGACAAATTCAAGTTCATAATGAAATTTCCTTAAATTTGATAAAGATGCTGAAAATGTTCCTTGCAAATTTTTTTTAATACTGAGTTTCTTTTTTTTTTTTAACAAAGCTCTGTACATAAAAATAAATATACAGAAACAACCCCATCAACTCTCTGCATCAGTAATCCTCGCTGGTGGGCTCACCATTTACAAGGAAGACATCATTCAACGCAACCTGTCACAGAGACTGTCCTACCAGCAAGGACCTGTTAACTTGATCATTGCCAGGTCTCTTTTATCAAGATCACCAATCACTTGGAGGCCTTTAGCTATCAACTAGCAATGACCCATGAAATCAGTGAACACAGTCACTGGCTTCAGTGCAGTGTGACCAACTGCAACTACTGCCTAGTGGCCACGTCCATGCTCTATGCTGCCTTCAACCCTTGAAGACACAGATGCAGTTAAGAACAGAAAGAAAGCCCCCTCCCCCTGGGTAGTCACTGTGAAAAGCGTGCATAAGGCAATTGAGTCAAGGGTTAAGGATTCATCTTGCTAGTGTCAAAAGCAACACTAACAAGATTCTTAGCCTCATCCACCAGACGATGGACCTCTGCGTCCAGGTCTCCAGGAGCAGGCTCCACCTCCTTCACCAGACAAAGGGTTGTAACCTGTGACAAGAAAAAAGGAGCAGAACAGTGCTGGAAATGTCGTGTATCAAACATAAAATGGTGAGCCTGACGTGCAAAGCACTGCAAAGATATGGATTCTATTCTCACAAACATTTTCATACAACTTTCAGCTACCCTATGACAAAAAAATGTACATGGTCATTGCAGTTTGAACTGACTTTCTGGTGGGAATAAAACAAGCCATTCAGCTTCTCTGTTTTAACTCTCCAAACACAAAAAACTACCCAAAACACACAAAAAAATTTGCCCAAAAAACCTCTCAAGATGGCTGGATTGAAGTATATAAAGGCTTCTAACTGCAGTGCTTAATATAATGTATACATTCAAATAAGAACTCAACCTACACAAAATAAATTAAAAAAACCAAAATCAAAAAGAATGGAACTCGTTACTTCCACCAGTCAGAACTGGGTAATCCACATGCCCCAGTCCCCAACCCCATCCCTGACCATTCATTAGCTTCCTAAAGTTAATGAACATTTGGCAACCAGGTTGATTGATCAGGCTTTAGAGCTAGCAAGACCTTAAATGAGGTGGTTTTGCTCCTTACTTACTATAGAATCTTTGGTCACTAACTCCCTGTGTCTCAGTTTCCTTATTTGTAAAGCCAGGCCAGTCAAAGCCCCTAGCTCTGCATGCATTCCATTTTCTACAATTCTCTCCTAAATACCACCACTCTTTGCTCTGAAAAATAGTCTTGGAAGACTATTCCTTGCTTGGAGCAAGAAAAAGACTCAAAAAAGCATTTCCTTTTCAGACACACCACTTCCCTACAGCAAGCCAGCTTTGGGTTTTGTCAGATCCCAGTCCAGCTTGTGTCCAGTCTGCACAGAGCCCAGGTTCCAGACTCCTGACAGTCCTCCAAGAGGCCAGCCAGGCTTCCACACCTGCCTCTGCAGCACCTCCCCACAGAAAACCCCTCTCCCGAACAGAGGATAGTCTTTAGCCAAAAACTGGTTCCTACATAAAGTATTTTAATGCCTTTGCCCTCCCCTCTCTCAGGATTAACGGGGAACTCCTGGCAGATCACAAAGGTTACTCATTTTCATTTGTGTGGGAGTCCTGTCTTCCCCAAAGGACGTGAAAGTCCTTAAGGATGGGATAAGGACAGACTGCTACGGTTAGAGGGCTCAAGGATGTTGCATGCAGAAGCTCCCTGAATGAACATGTCCATGCCTCCTTGAGAAAGTTATTTGTAAGAAACAAGGTGGCCCTGGCTGGAAAGACCAAAACCCCTGTGTCCTAGCCCCTTGACAAACTTATCTGCAATATGTGCAAACTATTCCTCGCCCCACTTACCACTCCCCTTACAGGACTGTGTGGGATCAAGTGAGAATACTAAAATACAAGTGCAACCATCCCAATTATTTCCTGACGGCCTCGAGTGACCTCCTTTTTCAACTGCCAATCAAATGCTGACTTTTGTGAGGCCAAGGAGGTTATAGGCCTCCTGGAAACAGGACTTGAGCCCACATCCTTACCCAAGGCCCACAGGGCTCAGCACGTTGGTGACTTCCAGCCATTGAGGGCTGCTTTGCATCTGATTCTTTTATTTAATCTTCATAATCCTAAACTTAGGAATTAATCTCAATTTATGGACAATGAAACAAGGAAAAAGAATCTTGTTTTTAAAGGTAAGTGTATCCTGTAATTGTTCAGAATGCTTTGATGTTTGGTACTTACCTCCTCGCCGCAAGGGCTTTCTGTCAGATTTTCGCTTGGGGATGACTGATGAAGTAGAAGGCCCAGGACTGTCTTCTTCCTGTTTGAACATACACAGGCTTAAGAATCTAGTTAAAAACATTCTACTCCAGGGACTTCCCTGGCGGCACAGTGGTTAAGAATCCGCCTGCCAATGAAGGCGACACGGGTCTGAGCCCTGGTCCGGGAAGATCCCACATGCCGTGGAGCAACAAAGCCCATGAGCTACAACTACTGAGCCCGCATGCCACAACTACTGAAACCCATGCGCCTAGAGCCCGTGCTCCACAAACAAGAGAAGCCACTGCAATGAGAAGCTCGCACACCACCAACGAAGAGTAGCCCCAGCTTGCCACTACTAGAGAAAGCCCGTGCGCAGCAACAAAGACCCAATGCAGCTAAAAATAAATGGACAGATTTATTTTTAAAAAAAAAAACAAAAAAAAACACATTCTACTCTAGGAATCTTCTACTTGAAAAAAATCCACTAGGCCAAAGGCTACATCACCTGAGGCTTTCTTGTATTTCCTTTGTAACTTTTTCCTTCTCGCATGCTATCCCACATTTCAATCTTCTGTCTCCTTTTCTCTTCTTCAAGCTGAGGAGAATCACATGTTGTACAGAATGAATTCATAAGCTACCATCTTTCTCAAAGAAAATGTAATTTTGATAATTTTTAATCTAAATGTCCTTCAAAACACACCTTCACCTGCACTTTCTTCAGTTAATAAAACAGTTGTCATCTAGTGGTGTGAGTTTAACTCACCAACAGAACCTTTTGTTTTTGTATACTATTAAAGAAAGCAAAAAGTGTTACAGAGAAAAGAATACCGACTCTTCTTCTAAACTGGGCATTTTTGGTAATGGAGAATAACGCTGACCTGGAAAGGGTGAATGTGGCTGGCAGGCCTGCTTTGTTGCTACCTGGTTGTGTCACCTGAGCAAAGTCACTTAACCCCTCTACTTCAAAGGCTATGAGGATCCAATGAGAGCAGATTTGAAAGTTCTTTGAAAGTCAAATACTATGGGAGCATAAAGGAAAACTAATCTCAGCAGAAAACTATGTCCAACAATGAGCACCTGAGAAAGCTTATACAGTAATTATGCAGTAAGCAGGAGGGAAACACAGTGCCCTGGGTCTCTGACTCTGCTTCCTCCTCCTTGAAGAACAACTGGGTACTGCAACTTAAGTTCACACAAAATTCACTAACTCTCTATTCCCAGTAGAATCCAGACCCAAACTTTAGTTCATTCTGGTTCCAATTAAACTGTGATATCACAAAGATATGCAAGAAGATGCCTTAGAAAGCACATATCCAGGAATTTCTCGATGGCTTTCAGGGTTCATCACTGCTAAATCCACATGTCTGTCCCTTCATGCTTCCACTGTCTGCAGGTACAGGAGGTCAAAGAGGAAACAGTCTCTTGATCTGAAGGTTGTTTTATGCTCATAGCTAACATGGAAAACACCAGAATGGAACACTGCTGACAAATCCTGAGACCACAAACAAGACAGCTGACTGAACTGTGAGTCAGGCAGATTCTGTTTGTTGAGTTTGTTAAATATACAGAACTACAACTTTAAAACTGGACATAGGCTTCTATCCTCTCTCCAATTTTAGGAGGCGCACATTACAATTTTTAAAAATAATCTTTAAAAAATTTTTTTTCAGCTACATCAACAAATTGGATAAATGATCAGGCTGTTTTACTTATGCAAAAAACCCAGACCCTCAAGTCATTAATTTTGACATGTAGAAGGAATTCAACTTACTCTATAGCTCCAGAAACAAAACAGATGGTTGGAAATCAGCAAAGGAAAAAACTAAAACTGCTTAAAAATGGCATCTATGTATACTATGCTGCCATTTCTATGTAAAAATAATACATGCATGTGTTTATATATGGATAAAATGTTTCTGGAAAAATACCTAAAAAGCTTAACATGGAATGCTTGGGCAGCAGTAGATAGGGGAGCAAGGAAGGCAGAGACTTAATTTTCATACTACAGATTTTTGTATCATGAATTTGTTTTAACCTCATGTGGTTTAGAAAACTACATAAATAACAGGAATGTGCTAGTACATTTTAGGTTAGTGACTATTTAAGTGGAAGATGGGCAACCCACTGAACACTGAAGAAGGCTGCTGAGAAAGGTGACCAAGAGGGCCGAATGTGTGTAGTAGGTGTTGTCTTATTCTGTCCTTTCCCTCTGGGCTCCAGCCAAGCTGTGGAGACCAGTCATGTACTGGATGACCATGCAGAACCAGCAGTGGCAGAAAGGTACTCCATACTGGAAACACCAGAGACACATGTAAGACCAGGAGGAAGACCAACTTCTCTGGCTTCCTTCTGAGGAGAAAAAGAGGGGCCCAGAAACATCTGCACTGAAACTAGAAAGCAAAGTCTACACTTGGTTGTTTCAGTTACAGAGAATGGGTCCAACCTGGTGGGTGACCTTACTCCTGTGAAGAGCAGCACAACCCACCTGGCTGCTCAGGTCACTTCAATAGCAGCCTTTGGTTCTTCCTCCCCCCACCCCCCAAAACCTTTTACCACCCCTACAACCAAACCATGTGTCTTTAAAAAAATCTTTCAAAACTCCATCTCCTGCTCTCCATCTTGACCCTGGGTTGAGCCCATCGCCACCCTCCCCTGGCTCTCCTTCAATCCACTGAAGAGCAGCCGCACCAAGCCAGGTCATATGACATGCATGGCTTGAGACCAACCATGGAGCAAGAGGCTGAATGTGTGTTCTGTGTGTCTGGTGGTATGGCTCCTGTACACAGCAAACAGTTTTGTTGGATGAAATGCTGCTGTGAGGGAACCACTTAAAAGTAAAAACATAAATACAAGACACCTTTCTTTAAGAGTATTTCCCCCCTAAACAGTAAGAAATTGCACAAGGAAAACATGATGAGCAATACTTAGCTAAGTGGAAATGATTCGGCCTGAAATAGTTATTCTTTGTATCCATCCTAATGCGCATGCCCATGCACACACACACTTTTACCCACTAAACCTCAAATATCATGTATTCAAACTAAAACCAGTTCATACCTGTCTTAGTTTCTCCTTATGCTTTTCAACTTGTGCATTTAATTCATCTTGCATTTTCAAACGAGCAGCTGCTAAAGCCTCCTGTCGTTTAACAACAATATCAGGTTCTAAAATATCAGAAAAAAATTGGGATAAAGCACCTTGTGTAATATAAAATGAAAACTCTTGAGGTCTATATTATTAGAAGTGTACAGAAGTCAGGCAATGCAAGAATATACTTTTACATGAATAAGTCTATTCTTCTACATATATTTTACTGCTTAAGCGGGGGGGGGGGGGGGGGAGGGTTCACTACGGGAACCAGAGAAGGGACAACTGGAAGGCGGGAATCGGTGATGTCACCACGCCCCAGGGGGGGGGGGGGGGGGCAGTGGACTATCCCATCGCCACAGTTCATAGCCCTTGTTAAATATCCAAAGCATCAGAAAACTCTGTTCAAGACAGATTTCTGGGCTCCCTGAGCAATTCCAACTCAGAGAGTCTGGCATGGGCTCCGAGACTGAAATATAAGTGGTCTGACGGCCAGTGAGATTCCATTCCACAACCTGGATACCTCCTAACACCCAGTCTCTAGGTTGACCAGAATTCTAGAAGACAACCAAGGAAAGATAAAGTTTTCTGATCATTAGCCATCACCTAATTAGCCCAGGTCTATACCAGAAAGAGGTAAAGATCATTAGGTATTTTATCCTTGTTTTTACAGGCAAAAAAAAAAAAGAAAAATCCTTCCAGCTAGCATTAATAGAAATGACCACCCCAGGTATCTGTTTTTATCTGGTTTAGTAAACAAAGCAAATTATATAAATACACAATCAAGTTCTCTATTTTACTCAGACCACTGTGTTTAAGGAGCACTAAACGGAACTAGGCAGTGGTTTGACTAATTTTGTAAACAAGGAAACAAACTAGAACTTATATGTTCACATCAGTATCATCCAAAGGATATGCAATCATCATTACTTATAGATAGTTAGCAGTGGAAACAGGTCACCTAACTGAATCCACGTAAAACAGGGGCCAAAGTAGCACAGGGGTGTGTCTGTGGTGACAGAGATGACTAGACCTTTATCTTTAAAAATAAAATTATAGTTCCACTTTATAGAAATGTGAATTGTGGTAACATTTGGAACTGTTGGATCATTCTTAGAATAAAATTAATTATGTGTGGACTTTTTTAACCTAATTTTTCTAACAAAATTGTACAACACAAGGTAACACCTTTCACTGCACATATACTTTTTGCAGTGCTTCATTACAACAAAATCCTCTTCTGAGATGTCCATCCCATTATCTTATAAATCTACTCTTCAGTTGTCAGCAGGTCTCACAGAGCAAGGGATGGCTGTACCAGGTGACTGTTCTCTAAACCAGTCATCCACTTCACAAAACCCTGCAACTTAAGCAAGATTTTCTTTGTACTTTGTACTTTTTGTTGGATATACAGCCAACAACCAAAAATGCTGAGATAATGGCAGGACCCCAAGGTTTCATGGGAGAGAAGAGTGAAGGAATTTTCTAAGTCTTTCTACTAATGACTACTTTTGTATTATGTTTGCTTTCCTCCCCAACCTCAGTAACTGTGGTGGCTCAGATGACTGATGATTTGTATTTATTTAATTATACTGCTATTCTCAAGACACTTAACATTTCTCTTAAATATGTCCTCAGAAACTGTAGCTTCTAACTAGTTAAAGCTACTGTTTTAGAGGGAATAAGTTTTTGAAACAGGCAGGTGTAATCTGATATCAGGACTGATGAGTAAGTTGTGAAAATCAAAATGCGGTGGATGTGAATAACTAAGGCTGAGTTTGTCACTCACGATGGTTCTAGAGATAAATGAGACTTAGTAGGCAGACCCATAAGTACGGAGCAGCTGTGAAGTCTTCACTTTAATCTCTCCTGTAAATGAAAAACCATGCAACAAGATATGCAGTGAGTGCTCTCTACACCATCAAGTGGTTTTTTTATCCCATCAAAAACTCTGAAATTAAAACAAAACAAAACAACACTATTGCAAATCACCAAAACCAACTTCCTAAGCATAAAATAGTTTTCTTCCCACACAGATCAGAAACGTACCTCTTACTCTCAACAGACTAACTTTTAAATACTAAAATAAGTAGGCGTAAAGCCACGCCTTCATTTGTTATGAGGCACTAACCCAGAGCAGCGGCAGCTCGATCCAGCTGCCTCTGCCTCAAGGCCCTCAGCCGGGTGACGAGCTTCTGAAAGACCACGTAGAGAAGAATGCAGCTGAAGACGATGTACCAGCCATAGGTAGCCAGCAGGGAGCCCACTGAAAAGAAGAAAATAGTTTTCAAGAAACTAAAAATGATACTACCACTGGACTTTTCTATAACATTAAACAAAAGCAAAATAATCGTAGCTCCTGTCCTCAAAACCTTCACGGTGTAGCTGAAGACCTAAGTAGGCAGTTAAAATAGCGAGAAGTACAACAATTCATGGATCACTGAGAAGGGACTTCTCAGCTACCTGGGGCAAGTCCGGAGGACGTAGGGCACGCCAGCTGGGTTTTGAGGGGTGAAGGGAAGTGTATCCGACTCAGGAGGGCAAAGGCCTTTCAGATCCAGACTACATATAGAAAGGGGTGCCCATGGTGGGCTGACACAACGCCGGATTTTGGGGTCGTGCGTGGGGGTACGGAGTCGAGGGGCTGAGGCTTGAAGGCACACGCCAAGGGCGGAGAGACCCCAGTAACCGCAAACCCGGAAGGCTTGGTTCGCATAAAGTAAAGAACTCGCGCAATAAAGGGCCGACCGCAACGCCCGAGGAAGCACCGCTCTGGGAGGGCCTCCATGCGCGCTTCGGGACCACCGCCCGGGCCTGCGTGTTCAGCGCCAATACCGGCTCCCGGCCAGGTCCGGCCCGTAGGGCAGAGGAGAACGACTCACCGAACATGGCGGCGCGCCGAGGGTGGCGACACAAACCCGCTGCCCTGCGGCCCGCGCCGACTCACCCGTGACGTGAAGGAAGCGCAACCCCTCGGTCTCTAGGGCTGGCCGCGTGGACAGCTGATCCCCGTCCCGCTCCACGGTCGCCATCGCCTAGCCCGGCCCGGCCAAACCCGGCCGCGTCAGCTCCAGCCTTAGCCTTCCGGCTGGCCCCTACGTACACGTGGCACGTCTGGGGCCGGCGTCCCGTCGTCCCGGCCAATCGCGTCGCGACCCGGCCCAGACGCTCGGCCTATCGCGGCGAGGGCGTGGCCGAAAGGGGGTGGATGAGCGATCCGGGAAGGGCAAGGCTAGCCGTGGCCTGACGGGAGCCTTACCATCCGCTGCGCACTGGGTGGTCTAGCGGCTACCCGACTGACTTCCCAGCCGACTCCGTATCGAATGTTTACCTTTGCACTGATTGGACACCGAGGTCGCAGGAGGTTGGGGCCGCCGAGAAACAGGATTTGCGCCCAGGCTCTTGTTCCGGGCACATTGGGCAACAGGACTCGGCAGATTGGCGAGTCCCAGCCGTTGCGGGTTACAGCCAAGGTCTGCCCCACCAAGCCGTAAAGAGCCTTCCCCTGCAGCTGCCGGTGTTAACCTTTCAGGCTAAGAAAGTCCCCGCCGACCCCCGCGGTTCTCTCCTCCGGAATCAAAACCTCTTGGGAAAGAATTAGCATAACAATGGCTCCAACATGCATTGAATCTTACTGAGTATCACAAGACATCACAGTTATTTATAATAATGTCCTGGCTGTTTTCCCTGCCTGCAATGCCCTCCTCTACCCCCATCCACTCCTCACCTGTCAACGCCTCTCTGAGCCCTACCTTAACCACCCTATTTGAAATTTGACCTTGAGGCATTTTTGGAGAAGGATTTAAAGTGAACGTACCCAGCTGTGTCTCAAAAGAAGGGTTGAGAATTAGGAAGAGAAATTAATGAGCAGGCGATGACTTCAGATCGCACCGCCATCGCCACTGCCTTCACGAGCACCAACGCGAGGCTGAGGTACCACTGGGGCTTCCACCGCTGGTTGGCGTAGAAGTTCTTCAAAGGGATCAGCTCCTGGAACCGCACAACGACATCTTCAGCGGTGTGTCAGAAAGCAATAAAAGCGGAGATTCTTATAGAAGGACTTGCGTTCATGGGCCATGGCAAATAGAAGACTGAAAGCTCTTCATCTTGAAAATGGGCTTCTCAAATCGGGATTGAGGACTCTGGATTTTAGCAATTAAGACTGAAGACCCATTGATGTGATGTGTTTAGAAGGAGGAATTTTATTCCTCCACCACGACCACCACCCCAAGTTTCTGAAGATGATGAACTCTTTGATTTGAGGCGGTTTCTCACTTGCCCTGGCATCTTGCAGGAACTCAGAGTGCTAAAAATGAACGACTTCTTGGGATTACAGTTGCAATACTTGGTCTGGGATCAGCTTAAAATATACCTTGTATGTAAATACTGTTGAACTACTCAGGATGACTAGGATTACCTGACCTCTCTGTTTATACTCTGGACAGTAGGTACACTGTACTGGAGTCACCATTCATGCAAAGAGCTGGTTAGGACCTCTCTATCAGGGAGAGAATGCTCTGAAAAAGGATCTGGCACAACAGTTTCAGTCAATGCTTGGAGTGTCAACTAAAAAATTATTCACAATCTAGAAGTTGAGAATTATGTTTTATTTGGCAGAAAGTTTTTAGAACTTCAAGCCAGGGAGGCAGCATTTCAAGTAACCCTGAGGAGGCGTTTGCAACAAAGGGCAGGTAGTGGGAACATCAAAGATTACTGTTAACTAAAGAAAACCAGAAATCCCAAATGGAGTTTAGCGCTTTCCTGTGTATGGGAAGAGTCAAGAATCTGGGCTCACTGAAATCATTCTTTTGATATGCACCTAAGCTATCTGGGGCCAGTATCCAGTGTTTTCACATCCTGAGTTTCCTCAGGGCTCACCTTAGGGAGTGGCTGCAGTCTGATGACTGCTAAATGGCAGGTATTCTTTGTTTCCTTCCTGAGTTCCCTCAGGGGTCACCAGCTCACCTTCCTTGGTGGCTGCTTGGCTGCAATCACTGATGACTGTGACATCCTTTGTTTACTGATACGGCAGGCAATATTCCATTTATTAGGAGCTGTTTACTTTTATGTAGTAACTTAGTGGTTAAGATTGCTGGTGGCTTGGGTTAGCTAAGAAGACAGTCTTTAACAGACAGTTCCCTGCTTTAATAAGAGGTGTCAGATTAAGATGTGAAAGCTTCAAGAGTGTTTCAGTGAATATCATTTCTGAGTTCACAGTGTAGTTCAGGAATTAACTTGGAGTAGCTATAGAGGAAGATCCCACATTTCAAAGTTTGCTGTTGCTGGATTTCAAAATAAGTCAATGAGCTGTGAATGAATTAAGACAACCTGCATATCATAAAAATGTCAAAATGTTGCATCTGGTTAAATAGGAGAAAAGAGATTGCTTTATTTGCCTTGTTTACCCAACTTGCCTGTAATGTTTGTAATCATGAAGATGGAATAAATTTGTAACATTTAGTTTCTACCATATAAATAAAAATAGTGAACAATTCCTGTCACTCAGGACTTTGTGATATAAAATAGAAACCAGCACAACACTCATGAAAATAATGTACACTTTAAACATATACAAATTATATTATTGTAAACTTCAATGTATTTGTGTGTATACATATGTATACATGTATAATGATGAGGAGTATATTCAACAGAAATTTAAGAAATTTTGAATGATTTCAGGACATGGATGATTGGCTTTCATTTCAGTTCCTAGCACATTGCTGTTCTTGTGGTCTCACTGATAGAAGTTACTCATTCTTCCTAGCCAGGCTTATGTGTTAACCTTTGTCCCTTTAATCAGTGTAAAATCTCACCTAGCTTGTCTAGAACCATAAAGTTATTTCAGCAAACACTTTGCTCAATATAACTGCTCAGGTGTTATTAGCAAAAACAGGGCAAAGGTAGTATCCAGGACTCCCAACTAGTCACTGACAATGGTAGACTAAATGATTGGCCCCAATCCATTACTCCTTCTTGCAACTATACCCTTGCCATAGTCTCAAGGTGGGAGGAGTGTATTTCCCCATCCTTTGACTTTGAACTTGGTTAGGCTGCTTGCTTTGGTTAATGGAAGTTAGTGCAAGTTCATGTGCCCAAGGCACAATGAGGCCAAACACACCAAAACGGAGTTTGGAGCAGAGAAAGGTTTATTGCAGGGCCATGCAAGGAGACAGGTGGCATATGCCCTAAAAATCCCTGAGCTCCTGGAAGGGTTTCAGCAAAGCATTTTTAAAAGCGAGGTAGAATCTCACTACTGGGCATATACCCTGAGAAAACTGTAATTCAAAAAGATATAGGTACCACAATGTTCACTGTAGCACTATTTACAATAGCCAGGACATGGAAGCAACCTAAATGACCATAGACCAATGAATGGATAAAGAAGATGTGTTGCATATATACAATGGAATATTACTCAGCCCTAAAAAGGAATGAAACTGAGTTATTTGTAGTGAGGTGGTTGGACCTAGAGTCTGTCATACAGAGCGAAAAACAAATACCTTATGCTAATGCATATATATGGAATCTAAAAAAATGGTACTGATAAACCTAGTGGTAGGGCAGGAATAAAGACGCAGACATAGAGAATGGACTTGAGGACACGGGGGGAACAGGAAGCTGGGATGAAATGGGAGAGTAGCATCAACATATACACACTACCAAATGTAAAATAGATAGCTAGTGGGAAGCTGCTGCATAGCACAAGATCAGCTCAATGCTTTGTGATGACCTAGAGGGGTGGGATAGGGAGGGTGGGAGGGAGGCGGAGGCTCAAGAGGGAGGGGATATGGGGATATATGTATACATATAGCTGATTCACTTTGTTGTACAGCAGAAACTAACACAACATTGTAAAGCAAGTATACTCCAATAAAGATGTTAAAAAGAAAAAGAAAGCCAGGTGAGGGAGGGGGGGTTGCAGGGTATGTGATCAGCTCGTGCATAATTTTCTGATTGGCTGATGGTGAGATAACAGGGTGGTGTCACAGGGGTTAACATTATCAGTCCTTAGGCTCCAGGAGGTCATGTTCATGGTCATCAAGTAGTTAACATCTTCCATTTGGTGGGGGTTGTTGCGGGGGGGGGGGGGTTCACATCTGTAAAACAACTCAGGAAATGTGCATCAAATACTGTTATCCATGTACTTCAGAGAGGAGCTAAAGCAGATGATTATGGGGGAAGTACTGTCCCAGGAAGGCCCCATAGGGTCCTGCTTGGTTACAGTAGCAGTGTGTCAGTTTTGAGTGTAGGCCTTAAGAAGATTCTACTGTTTCCTTTTTGTGCCTTTGCCTGGTTAACTGACTTGTCCAAGGAGAATGAAATATGTAAAGCTGAGGCACCCTAGTTAATCTATAGACCTGAAGTGAAAAACAGAGCCAGCTATGAGAATAAATGGTGACTGTTGCTTAAAATAAGTTTTCGGGTGGTTTGCTATGCAGCATTTAAAAAAAAATTATTTTATTGAGGTATAGTTATTTGCAATGTGTTAATTTCTGCTGAACAGCAAAGTGATTCAGATATATATATATATATATACATATATATATATTTACATCTTTTTCATATTCTTTTCCATTATGGTTTATTACAGGATATCGAATATAATTCCCTGTGCTATATAGTATGACCTTGTTGTTTCTCCAGTCTATATATAATAATTTGCATCTGCTAATCCCCAACTCCCAATCCATCCATCCTCTACCCACCCCCCCTACCAGAAGTCTGTTCTGTATATCTGTGAGTCTGTTTCTGTTTCATAGATAAGTTCATTTGTGTCATATTTTAGATTGCACATATAAGAGATATCATATGGTATTTGTCTTTCTCTGACTTACTTGAATTAGTATGATAATCTCTAGGTTCCTGCAAATGGCATTATTTCATTCTATTTTTATGGCTGAGTAGTATTCCATTGTGTATATATACCACATTTTCTTTATCCATTCATCTGTTGATGGACATTTAGCTTGTTTCCATGTCTTGGCTATTATAAACAGTGCTGCTAAGAACATAGGGGTATGCAACATTA